AAGGTAGAGTAATATAACTGGATTTTGTTCAAATACGACTCTGTTAGCGTCTACAGTTCGTTGTGTGCAAACTTACTGCAAGTGAAGTCTGTGTATTCAACTGTTGCCAGGATATGTATGGGCTGTGGCTAAATGGCTACACATTGGAGAGGGTCATTTATCATCGTAGTTGAGTATATCCAAAAGGAAAGCTACAACTTTTTGGTTAAAATGGATCTATTTACTTATTTGTATGCAAGCCTGACACACAACTTGGGTAAGATGACTTTCTGCATCTGGTAACGCTGACAAAAAAATGTTATAACTGAAGACTTGTGGGTGAACTAGTTCAGTAAAGCCATATGCAGCACATCTCACAAGATGACCTCAGCCTGGTGCCAAAGCTACATACTGCAGTAAACAGGCGATCTGTGGACATGGGAGAGATGCCATTCTCCTTGTTGAATGTTATTGTGCTATTTCATCGACCATTGAAATTACTATTTTAAGGTGGAACAGTTACATATTGTTGTTTTAATGAGACAAGAAATGCTGAGTGAAATCCCCAAACGGATATATATGATACATATAAAGGCTTTAAAGATGCCGAAACAGCTGCAAAACTTGCCAAAGGAAAAATAAGGATCTTCTTGTGCGAACAAAAAAGACAGGTGGAAGGGGTTACTGTTAATAAAGATTACGTAATTTAGGATTTGCAGATAGAAGCCCTGGAATCCACTGGCTTCTGCTTTCACCTCCTGCCTTTCCTGTAATTGAACCCATGAGCGCTCTGCCGACAGCTTGGCCCTGGTGGTCACTGTTTGATTGCAAATCGTTTTTCCAGTGTATTTAGGGACCAAAAAAGCCGTCTGTGAGCATATTCTGACTGAAGACACTTTTTTGTACGCTCACACCTATCAAAGATAAATGACTGCTGTAATGAGCGCAGCAGGGTGTCAGACTTGTCTTACAGGGAAAAGGGGGGGAAAAAAACCTTTTCAAAGAAACGTGTGGGTTTAGGGGGAAGTCAAATAAAGACAGGGGGTTTGGTAAAAGTTTAGTGAATCTCTCTAATGTTAAAGGGAACCGTGCATTTTTCACACATAGCCTGGTGAGACATGGTTAGAGGGTAAAAGGTGTTTAAAGGAGCTGTTTTGAAGGAAAAAACAGCGTGAAGCTAAACTTATAAAACAGCATCCAGCTGAATGACAGAGTCCAGGTCCAGAGGAAACTGATGCCGCTGGGATGCATTGCTGGAGAGTGAGATGTGACTCAGAGTAGTTAGGGCAATGAGAAAATCCAGAAAGGTGAATAATTCACATTTTTCCAAAAGACACTGATGCACATCAATGACTTCAGGGCAAAACAAAGAAGGGATGTCAAAAGGCACCACCCACCATCAAACATTACAACACTGAAGAGCTAGAAACACCCTCCTACTTTGGAAAAATGATAAGACAGACGTGGAGGTGAAAACTGTAAATATTTTAAATACTTTTAGATTCTTTACATGCAAGAACATTAGACTTTCTGCAGTCTCTTCTTTAGCATCCATGTTGGGAATCTTATAGATTCCTACTCCAGAATATATTGAACAAATCATACCAAAGATACTGGTATACTACACTGACATCAAAGGAATGCAGTTTAACAACTGGCACCCCTTGTATACAACTATTCTCAATATGGAGTGCAAATGCTGGATGTCTCCCACCTTCAGTTGAACAAATACTATTAAGTGTAATTCTGGCAATTACATTTATGTTCATTGATTTAATTTTCTTTCTTGTAGATATCATCTTTAGACTTCAACGTGTAATGGAAAATTCAAACCGAACCTCCAGAGGAACATTATGAGCTCACTGCATGTTACAACCATCACTTTTGTGTGCTGTTTTACGTTAGGACTAACAGTGGGTACATGTGAAGGAGCCACATAAATATTGAGGTTGACAATAACATTGTTGAAAGTTGTTGTCATTCCTTTTTGACAAATGGGAGAATCGAAAGAAGGCTCATGTTTAGAGTCTAATCAGGACTTCAGAATTCGCCTGACAATTAAAACGCTGCAGCAAACTGCACACGGAGAAAACGTTTTATGTTTGTATAAAGATGACAAATGGCTTGTAACTTCCATTTGGATCTTAAAAATCAAATAAATACTGGGAAGTAAAAGCACATGTCAACACTCGAGAAAAGAAAAGGGGAAGAAAGGTTATGAGTAAAGGGGGAAATTGCAAAGCAGTGACTTGTAGTAAAAAGTGGCCAGCATCATTCAGGGAGATGTCCGGGGAAAGGAAGAGCTTTTAACATGAATATATTCACATCTAACTCTGACACCATGAGACAACAAAGCAATAATAGATCATCTCTTAATTATGTAATATTTTGGAGTTCTAGGAAAATAAATACTTTTGGTGTGCTCTGAACCACACGGCTGTTCCCGTCACACAGAGATGATGATGATGATGATGTTGAGCAGAACCATCTTAAGTGTTTCTTTATTTATTCATCTAACCAAGTGAGGAAAAGTTAGGATGGATTTCAGCCCAACATTTGGCAGGAGGAACACTCAAAGCTTAAGATTTAGAAAATAAAAATAAAATCTCATGGGGGACGCCAGATTATGTAAGATTATGATGTTAATAATAAGTAAGAAGGTGGATGGGGGTGAAAGTGTCATGTTTTATTTCTATTCCAGAGATGAGATATTCCATCAGACCAAACTATGACTTAGCTCCCAGCTGTGTGATTTCATGGGTTATATAATTTTATATAACTGAACAACATTACTAATCAGGAATTGCAAGTCACACTCACTACATCGAGGTTTTCCTGTTCAGCACATGACAGTGTGTGTTTACAAGAAATTTGAATCTCTGTCAAGACATGGAATCATCTTGTGTCTCGAATTGCAAATGGTGTTTTAAGGAGGAATCCATTGAGAGTGCTCCCTACTGGAGCAGCTGTGCTAATGTGATTTCTCTCATCAGTAAGGTTGTAGGACAATAAACCCAAGTTGTCACAAGTTTATTTAACAGTGTGCTATCTTGGCCTCTCCCTTAAAAGAGGCATTCAAATCTTCAGGGACTTTCTGGTAAAAAAAAAAGTTTTCAGTCAACGTTCAAAATGCATGCAGTTCAGCCTGAAATACCTTTACTGTAGATTTTGTCAGATACCAACCCCCTCATAAAAACATTGCTCCATAGAACTACAAGTGGTCAAAATCTTTCCAGACTGTTCCAGACAGCTCATTCCTGTCCATGTGGAGAACGGAGAGCCCATAAAGTTTAAGTAAAAACTGACAGGAATGTCCTGGTTTAGCCATGTCTCAGTTAGATCTGTAAGGCACAGCTCGCAGTATTTACAGCTTACTCTGGCACTTCATTATGGCATTGTTTTCTGTTCTGCATTACAATAATCATACAAGGCAGATTATCATTTAAGTCATGTATAAGCATAACCTCTGGACTGATCTCTAAAGGCATCTTTTCTAAATTGGCAGGTCTGACCGCTCCTCAGGGAACTTGGGAAGAGATAGAGATTCCATTGAATGGAAATTGAAGAAAGCCTCCCTGATGTCTCACCAAGCCAATGACTGGCATTTTAGAAATCTTAAAGAGAAGACCACCCTAAAGAAGGAATCTTGCAATCAATATTAAGCTGCACAAAGGTACCACATTCAGCAACAGTTTGTAAATGGTTGTTCAAACCAACAGGAAGGACAACACTTTCACTAAAACAAGACTGCTTTGTATTCTTCACTGATGTTGGTGCAAACTATTTGGCTATTGCTTCCAATGCACAATGACCGTCCTAAGTTCTTTCGAGTCTTTCCACCCAAAAGTGTTTCCCCTGCAAATCCACATAAAAACCAATAATAATGTCGTAAAAAGATGCCAAGTCTGTGATGTTCATACAATTGAAATGGTATATAACCTTGACTTGAACAAGTTATCATTCTCTTCCATCCCATCTTTCACATATTTGATTTTTATTTTGTATTCCTCTTATAATTTTCTACTCTTAATTACTTAAACTTTTTGACTTCTGTTCCGTTTGTTTATGTTTTTTATTGATTGGCTGCATCGCGCAGTATAAATATAACTAATGTGCTTTTCCAATCTGATTGTATTCCTTGTAAAATTGTTTTAAATTTGTAAATTCTGCAGTGGTAACAACATGGAAACCAACGTTTATATTGTCTGAAAATAAAAGCAGCTGATTACGGGCTTATAATGAAAAGTCACAAGACAATTTCATATTAAGTTGCCTTCTGGTTCTCTGGTCACCATTTAAGGTATTTAAACAGGCCGTGCATGTTTGGTGGCAAACTGTGAATCCTCTACACACGTAGACACTGAGCCTTCTCCGATCAAGAAGGCAGAAAACATGCCTGTTTCAACGTCTGCCAAAAAGAGTAGCATCAATAGAACACTTAACCTACAATTAAGAGTACTTAGTGACTTCACACGTCTCCTAGCATGTGAAGACAAAATTTAGGGAAGAAATGTTCAGCCCAAGGATATAGTAAAATCTGTCATTACAAGGGCAATTTAGGTGTGAAGACAGGGAAGGAAAATTACATACAACTGCTCTAAGCACTAAAACAAGTGTTCTAATGTTTTAGCAATGTTTCTGTATAGCTCAGTAATTTACAAAGAAATCCCATTTAAATATCCTGGCAGTACAATAAGATCAGACAGAAGCCAGAGGTTTGTTTCCTCGACTCTTTATGCTGCCCTTCCAGGCAAAGACAAAAAAAAACACCCAGCCCAGAAACCATCAACACCTGACAAAAAAAGTGGGAAAATGTGGGCAAAGCTCTGTGGAATGAGTGAAAGTAAGATGAGGGGAGAGGTAGAGGGGGCAGGGGGAGGAGTGACGGGAATGGTCCCCCACCCTGAAGGTTGAAGAGGGTCAGCCCGGTGAGTTGTGCACACAGGGAGAGAGGGGGAGGACCCAAATGCAAAAATATTTAAGTTGTTCAGGCAGAGCAGGGTTTCATTGAGGAAAAACGACTGAGCCTGCTGGTCAAAGAAGAGCTCCAATTTAAGACCAAGACCTTCAACGGGGACTGACTGAATTCAAACACACCTGAGATTGTGTGAAAATAGAGAACTCTTGTCTAGAAAATGGCTCAAGTAAATCTAATCCTAGTGGCTTTTGGGGTCACGCTTCTCCTGCTGGCAGAGACGGGGGCCCAGAATCCCAGGAAGAGACTGGCACCTCCAAAGCCTCCCAAAGGTCAGTGCTGCGATGAGGTCCGCTCTCTCAAGGTTCAGGTGGCCAATCTAACCAGTATCCTTGAGGAGATGAGCCGCAAGCAGGAGACAGACTTGATGAATGTTGTGAGGCAAATTATGGAGCTGGACAAGAACAACCGGCAGCAAGAAGCCAGGGTCACCGAGGCTGAGAGCAAGTACTCAGAGATCAACAACCGTGTGGAGATCATGCAGCTGCAAACCCTACAGTCTGCTACCCAGACTTCATCAGGTGAGCATCAGCAGCTTATTAAGAAATAGGATTAACATAACATACTGGGCAAAGTTCTGTGTGCTGCTTTTTGTGGTGATAACATCTGCAGAAATAAGTTTTAAGCTTAACGGTTATTTTGCTAAATTTGATCCATGTGAAAGCACTTGGAAAGAGTTTTTCTTAAACGTTCACACATGGTAAAGATGATCCATCACTGGCTTAAGTGCATATTTGATCCACCTGTGTCTTTTCTCTCTAGCCAAATTCACACACCATGTGTTTAAATCATTTCCACATATGGACATAGAGTTAAGATATGCTTGATCTAAAAATAAATTGCTTGCCTACCACTCTTTGCAGCTTGAAAAAAAAGTTATTCTTACATTTATTGAAGTTCAGTTGAAACTTTTTTGTTGTTGTTGGTAAAGGTAATCATTTTTAAACTGATAAGTTAAACTCTAGTATATAAAGTGTGAGCTATACAATATAATTTCAGTGGAATGTGAGTACCAACATTTCCCAAAACACTAATTAAATAGGCCAACTAGTATGCACACACAAGACTACAATTTTTTGTAGCTATAGAACACTATAATCAGCCCCGTCTTTTGCTTTGAGAGTCGCAGACGACTGCTTTGAATCAGTCAGGGGGGGTAGCATTAATTAAGAGCTGTAGAGTCCCATCTGAAAGATTGTCAATAATACGCCCCATCAAAGCAAAATCATCTCTGACATTCATCTCAACTCTGAAACACCACTAATCAGTGTTGGCCACTGTAGAGAGGTTAACCAGGCATGACGTAGTTTATTATTTCAATACCTTAACTGTGTGGTCTAACAGGGCCACATTTATGTCACTGGCAAAGGGAACACAGAGGGCTCTTTAAAACTAGAGTAAATTAGAGACAGCAGAGCAGAACAGGAAGGGATGCAAAGATTAGAAGAAGTGGGGGGTTTCCATCCCTTTTTCTTTAACACAGACTTCTTCAAGTATTGGGCTCCTTTTTTTCAGAGTGATCTCATAGTCCCATTAATGGCATCGACAAAAGTCCGAGCCATGCTGAGCATATTCCCTTTGGTTAGGTCTTTTCTGCTTTTGGTGGGAGTAAAGCTTCTTTACTCATCTGTCCAATCACTCAGATGTCCATAAAGCTGTTAGAATTTATGACGTTCACATTTTTTTTAAAACTGCTCATGAAACTGCACATGGTTTTGAAATAACTGAAGATATATATTTTTTTTTTTGCAGATGCCATATATGACTGTGCATCCCTCTACAGCAAGAATTACAAGATCTCTGGCGAGTACAAACTGCCTAAGGATGAGTTTCTGGGTACACCTGAGATAAGCGTAAGCTATACCTGGCCTACTATACGTATGACTTATATGTATACTTTTTGGCAGAGCATGGTTATGTCTCCCTCTTCTCAAAGCCTTCTATGACATTTTGATAAATGTTTTCAGGTATTCTGTGATATGGAGACAAATGGAGGTGGTTGGACTTTGATCCAAAGGCGCAAGGTGGGCCTGACATCATTCAACCGGGAATGGAAGCAGTACAAAACTGGATTTGGATCCATCCGGGGAGACTTCTGGCTTGGCAATGACCACATCTTCCGTCTCACAAGGCAGCCCAGTGTGCTCAGGATTGAGATGGAGGTACGTATTTTAAAACATGGCACTTGTTAGGCATGGACACGAAAGAGTAAGAGTGCGTACAAAATGCACTAACAATTGGATGGTCAAAAGTAAGAGGGAATAAACACAGAGCCAGTTGATACCTGAGCGCAAGACTATTAGGAATAAATCAAACTTACTTTTAGAGACGTCAGGCAGATCAAGAGCCAATATTCTCAGGTTTTTTTAACTGTCAGACTCTAAATCCCTTTATATGTCTTTTCCAATGTAGGACTGGGAAGGACAGACGCGCTATGCTGAGTATGGCTTCTTCAATGTGGGTAATGAACTCAACAGCTACAAGCTCTTCATTGCCAACTACAGTGGGAATGCTGGAGACTCTCTGCGTTACCACAACAACACCAACTTCAGCACCATCCACAAGGACAACGACAAATGTGTGGATGACTGTGCTTCCCTGCGCAAAGGTAAACTCTAATTGCAAATATACTAACACTCATTTTATATATTTACAGTACATGTTACTTGAAAAGTTTTCTCTCAGAGTAACATAGTGTCTAATACTTCTTCACTTCTTTCCAGGTGGTTACTGGTATAACTGCTGCACTGACTCTAACTTGAACGGAGTGTTTTACCGCTACGGTGAGCACACAAAGAGTTCAGATGGGATCACTTGGTATGGCTGGCATGGGTCCAACTACTCCCTCAAAAAAGTGGAGATGAAGGTCAGGCCAGTGGGTTTCCAACCATAAGTGCTTCAGCTGTGTGGCCTGGATCAAGATCATAGGCATAAATACTGAGAGGTCTCACTGATACTTGTTTGAACAAGTTGTGGGTTTTGCATTGACTGCGAAAGGATTAAGAATGTTGTTTGTGATGGTTACATTTCTGTCAGATGAATGTGTTGTGTTTTTGCTGTGTTTGATTGTAAATTGTAGTTCATTTTGTGTATTTATCAGTAAGATATTTTATTTTTTAAAAGCTTCGATTGATGCTCTTTTACCACTGTCCCCAATGGGTTACTGCATTTAAATGTTTTCTTTCATATGTCTTGAAAGCACTACAATGTATTTTTAGTCATTACAAGCAATTTATGGATAATACCAAAACTCAGTCCAGACTGGTTTGGTTCAGGTGTAAATCATCAAGGAATGGTAGGAACTAATAAGAAGGATTGGAAGGAGGCCAATCACCAAAGGTATTTTCTATGAGTTACGCTGCATTTCTATTGTGAAACCATATCCATCGAATATGGAAATGTGTTATTTGTAAAATGTGTACAGCTTTGTAATTATGTTGTGTCATGTGATAGAATAATAAACATATTTTTTAAAAGAATAGAGGTGCAACACGTGTCTTTAAAAGAAAATTCCACATTATCTCCTCACTTTAGAGGCTTAACAACCAGGTTTAAGCGTGACAGAAGTCTAAAAGCAGATCAAGGTCTTGTGTCCATTCATGCCCAATAACAGTGACATATTAGCCTTTAGCTGCTGACCTCTGACTGTTGGGCCATCGTCTTACATCCTGGCTAAAGGTCCAAGGCCATCTAAGCCAAACACAGGAATGAAGACCACACACACATTCTGCAATCGAGATCAATGCCTTTAGGTTTACTACCCTGAAAACAATGGCACCATTTTGCTTCCCTCTGTGGCAACAAAGAGTTCCTTGGAGCATTCAAATACCAACAAACAAAAAGCTCTACCAATATAGCCTTAGTGGTAGGCTTAGTCATATTCTCTTCTGTTTACAAGGTGTCAGTTAAGAGTAAACATCTAATAAAAGATATCCATTCAAGGACATTCATTCCTTCCTATAAGAAGAATTAACCACTGTGGAATAAAAGCCCCTAAAAAGACCTTTAGAGGTTGACAAATGACCCGGTCATTCTATTCTAAGGTTTCAGACTATTCAAACAATTCCAACAATATACGCTGACCTTGAACAGTCATTGGTGATTAAATGCAACAACAGCAGCTAAGTTACTATTGGCATAACATTGTAAGTCTAAGTAGTTGTTGCAGCACAGTACTAATGATCAGCATGCACCATTTAGGAAACCCAAATGTTCCAAAGTGTATTTATTGTAATAAGCAGATGTAATTTTCTGAAACTTTAGTAAACAGGGCTGCCAATAGTATTGGCAATAATCTGAAGGCGCCTTTCTATGAACTGAATGTTACTTGACCTCTGAGCTCCACAATCAGTTTTCAAACCAAAGACTAAGAAACAGTGGTGCAGAAATGGAGACTAAAAGGTGATCATATAGTAAAAATTGGTACTTCTGGTTACAATATCAAATGCTAACTGAGCTACAGTTTTGAATCATCTGTGTGTGTGTGTGTGTGTGTGTGTGTGTGTGTGTGTGTGTGTGTGTGTGTGTGTGTGTACATACTGTGTGTATGGTTGGATTATGGTCCTGGTTTGTGTGCTCGAGTAGGAACAGGTGTATGTGTTGTATGGGATTGGGCAGTGTCCTTTTGTAAATGTGTTTTGGATTTAAGATCTGCTTTGTTCATTTTTCTTAATGGGTTTGTCTTGTGTTTGTTTATTTGTGTCTTCTGTAAAGCACATTGAGTTTACATTTGTATGAAATGTGCTACACAGATACAATTTAATTTAATTCAATTTAATCAAAGTTATCCTACTATTGTGTCAACCCTTGTCTACTCTCAACTTTATTTAAAATTCTATTTCCACTCTATGAGTAATCAATGATGTCCATTACTATTTTGGATACACATTACCAGTAAACATTAACACGTAGTTCATAGCTCCAGTTGGTCCAGTGGTGATAGAACCTCAACATTAATATAACTGGTTTTCTGACTTTTAAATATCAAAGACACAGCTTTGATCCTCTTATTAATTCTTACCAGTATTCAACAATATTTAATAAAAGAGATATTAATTGCAGATCCAAGTCCACTAAAGACACTACTTGATGTACTAATATCATCGCAACGTACGGCCAACTGTTTAATAACAGTGCTCTTTTCTTATTGGGAGTTTTGGGGAAACTGTGACCAATTTCCTGGCTCAATCTGAAGTGGTAAGACCTTAAAATGCTGTCACACCACCAATTTATTTATTGTATTTATATGCCTCATACACATTATTCAGACCAGACAAAACTCATAAACCTTTTATCGGTAATTGTTTGTCAGTTTTTTAACTAAGAATTCATGTTAGAGTATTTATAACACTGAATGCTGAATTCTTGCAAACTCACCAACTCCATCATGAGTCATCAGGCATTGAAAAAGCAGTGACCATTCTCCCTGTTCATAAAAATTGTGCATCAAATAAAATGTTTGTTTGTTTTAAGTGCAGAAACAACTTGATAAAGCCAGGTTTATGCAGTGCTTTTTGCACACCAGCCTCTAGATCTTTTATGGGAAATCCTGCAGAGGTGAGAACCAGATGGGAATATTGAAAACACCAGAGTGCCGGCTCCCATCATTCATCATCATCAAGGCCCCTGAGAAATTGAAAACAGGCCCCAGAGAAACACAAGTCCAGACACTCGTAGATGAAAAGGGGGCAAGCGTCCAATTAGATGCCTGGAAAACAGATTTCTCCATGCCATGCCAAAGGCCCAGAAATAAAGAAGGATGAGAAAAAAGGGAAAGCGTTGGAAAATATGACAGATGATATCAAAGGACTATGGGACAGGAGGATATGTGAAATACAATTGCTTAATGTATTACATTCAAAATTACATTTGAGGTGTAGTTCAATTTTGTCACTAAGTAATAAATTCTAATGTGATAACCGTGATTCACAGAGAAGTCTGTGATTTTTTCAGAAGAATGAATCAATGGCAACAAGAAGGGAGAAATATGCTATTTCTTACTTCCCACCCTGGAGCCTAATGTTTTTCTTGTATGTTCTACACAAGATACCCAATAAGCAATGGCCTATAGTCACAAAAAGTATTTCTGTGTGGTCTAAATGTCTCATGTAAGTGGCCTTCAGTGGCAAAAAAGTTTTATCCCTATGCTTTGAGCCTTAGTCAACACAGCACAACAGTTGCTTTAGCAAAGTGTTATGCTTCGGTTCTTAAACAGCAAAAAAGATTGATATAGCAATGAATAACTTAGCATTTGTAGCAGACACACTTACTGTATACAGCAGGTTTTAAGGTTTTTGTCAGGCTTTCACAGTGAAAAATAAATTATCCTTTTCTGCGCCACTTACTAGCTTCTGAAAAACGACAGCTGACCCTGATCCTGACATTCTGACCTACCATGAAGAGTGAGTCATGTCAGATTACGTTTTCAATTTAGTTCACCAGATCTAAGTACAGGTACATTTTCTTATATTCTCTAATAGACACCTTGTCCTAAGCCGTTAGGAAGATTGTTTAGTGAAGTCGTTGATGCATTGTATGGCCAATGGACTTGAGCTTGTATAGCACTTTTCTCGTCTACTCAAAGCACTTTTACACCTACACATCCACACACTACTGGGTGGCCATCAGAAGTAGCTAATCACATTCATACACATGCATACGCCGCCAAAGAAGCAGCGGGAGAAACTTGGGGTTAAGTATCTTGCCCAAGGAGACATCGGACATGTGGCTGCAGGAGCTGCTCAACTTTCCAGGTTGAGAGACAACATACTGAGCCACAGCTGCCCATAATACAACATCAAAAAACTATTTGTTTTTCTCCTACCTGATAAGAGACTCCAGGATGAGTGGAGAAGCGCCTTTCTGGAACTCTAGCTCTTTGTAATGTAGAGCCTTGGCATAGGCACGACATTTCGCAGCTCTCTCGCCAAGCAGCACAATGCCGTTATCATCTCTGAGGGGCAGAGGGCCCTGAAAAGAAAACAGAAGGAATACAATGATAAAGTTCTCTTAATAAAAAGATGAAATGTAAATGACAAGTTGTATGCGACATTTATGGTCCTCTGTTGGCAATTAGTAGTTTTTAACATCAACACAACTTATAATTCTGTTAAACCCTTATATACTGTTATTTGATACCAATGAATACCTAGAATAAGCTTCCTGCTGCATGTAAATGATTTGTACAAATGCACCTCTGGTCTTCAAGTTATCCAGTAAATGGTCATCTGCTAGCCCACAGAAACCATCTAAAGACCCTCTTTTCCACTGGCTGGGAATACGACACTTTATGTGTGTTTTTACTGCAGTCTCACAGCAGGAGGGAACCTTGCTGAATTGATATATTATGATCAAACCATGAAGGTCTCCACCTTAAATGTAACAGTATCGTCACTAATTAGCTCAGCATGTGTGGTCAAACCGTAGAATAAAGAGAAAGCGCTCTGTTGAAAGGAATTTTTTAACTCAATCTGGAATCTAAAATCCAACCAGTAAGGGACTTTTTTAGGTTGATAGTTGCCGATTACCAATATGACATTAAATAAAGTAAGATTTTGGCCAGGACACTCTTGATAAGGGTCTTTTTAATCCAAACGAGTTTCATTCATAGTTAAATTAAATGTTAAATTAAATTCAGCAGTAAAAATAAACCCTATCTAAAAGGATTATGCAACAGTTCTTTTCTCATACCACATAATGATGCGAAGAAGGCTTCTTTTCAATAATATGGAGAGAAAAAAAGGTCAGGAATATACACTTGGGAAACACAGGTATATCTCTCAGGTTCTACTTGAAACACCTGTCAATAAAAGTATTGCTGTGGTCTGAACCTCAAAGGTTACGGATTTGTTCTTTATGAAAATCGCTGCATCCTGAATGCTTTACTTTCTTGATGTTATGCAGTGTGAGCAAACTTTGCACAACAAAAAACACAACAAAACAGTGTTTAAATGTCACTGTGCCTACATTCAAGCTGCCATGCAAGAGTGTGACAGTAGAAACTCATCTGTAGTAACTTTAGGCATCAGTGGCACATCATGGACCTTTGTTTAGACTTGGGTACTTCCCTCTTGTTTTTGCATTGATACATTTACTGACTATATCTTTGCAGGTTCTGC